TATTATTATTATTATATATATATATATATATATATATATATATATATATATATACTTTTAAAGATATATACTACAGTAGGATTTTGTTTACAGCATTCAAAGAATTTAGAACCGACTGACCCCAAAGTTGACTTGAGGACCTTTGCAATATGTCAACATTGAGATTCTTTGCAATATGTTGACATTGCAAATAAATTTCAAATCAATTGGTGAAAAATTCTGGGAAATTGAAGACTTTGAAAAAACGATTTATTGAAAAAAGATTTCTGAGGACAGAAAGTACAACATTTGATGAATTACCGAAATTAAATTTAATCAGAATATAAATTTTATTCTATCGACCAGACAAGATGCAGTTCTGTAAGTAAAATAAGGCGATTGGAAGGATGTTGTCGTGAAAACGAAGTTGATAATGTCGAAAAACAGAAGCAATTTATAATATATTAAGGTATTTGTGTAGAGTATTTGCTAGATAAGGGATTCATCACATTCACACTAACAAATATAAAACGTTTCCCCCTACCTAAAGTGATGAGTCACTTATCCAATCTTCAAATCATCCGAAATTTCTTTTTTTTTGTCTAATGTCGAAATTTGCGTACATTCCGTAACTAATTTATAAAGGTTTTATCCTATGTGCAAATCTTAGATACAACAAATTGAGAAAGTCGTGTATTTGGTAGGACAGTTTCCATACAATTTCATTATATGGAAAAAAAAAATCATGCGTGAATTTCTCTTGTAGCTGTGAGAATATACTGCCAGTTTTGTAAAGACCTTATAGGCAGCTATTCCCATATTGTAGTCCACGCACACCTGTTTCCAATATAAGTTGATAAAAGGGATTTGATATTGGGATACACTATTCACTCAGTAAGCACTACATGCGCATCTATCTCTGCAAAGGAATCTTTGTTACTTCACTTGAATCACCGATCCAGTTTGTTATTTTGCTCCATTTTTGTTTTAACCCCTAGTAATTCATTTCTAATCTATTCTTCGGGATTGAAGTAACGATTATTCGTGTTAAATCCTACTTAGTCAATAAATACTATCTGTATTGCAGGTACTCTACTACAACAAAAGGATCAACAGATCCATATTAAACACACATCCATATTAAACTACTGATAATTTAATACTAACAAAAAAAGTTTCTCTTAACTAAACGTGGCAAACTAGCTTCCTTTCAATAAAGTAAGCAAGGAAGTCGAGTTTTATTTGTTACAAAAGAAGAAAACCAAATTTTCCACAACAACTTCTTCTTGATACTATGGTAGCGATGCATTGAAAACTGTCATCTCTTTACATAAGAGTAAAGTTTCCTTTCTACTTTTCCATTACTCAGTTGGTTTGAGTTGTAGAGTTGAATTGTGACTGGGTGTCCAAACTTCCTTGTCGTTAAGGTTCATTTTCATTGGTTGATTGCTGTTTAAGTACATCATATTGTTACAAGGATTTGATCCCATTTGTTACATAGTACACTGTCGTAAGAAGCTTTACAAAAGAAGCACTTTTCCTTTGTGTCTTTCGCCGTTGATTTCTTAGCTCTTATCAGTCCCTTGAGACGGTTCATTCGAGTGTTTGTTGTAAGATAGATATCACATTCGCTATCTCAATGATCTTGACTGCAAAAGACACGTGGTCTTCTTTCTTTGCTCTCCTTTTTCATCGTAAACTTAAAAATCTTCTCATCGCTGTGAATTGTTGCTAACGCTAATTTTGCTAATTTTGCTAATTCTGTCGCTATTGTCATTGCTAACTCTGAAGTTAGTTCAGGAATTTTGTCATGGTTTGGTCACAGCTGGTTTCCTTTCAACTTGAGTAAGTGAAAATTGACTGTTCTTACCGTTCATTTATATTGGCCAAGTTTCCAAAGAAATTTTCAAGTTCCGAAACTGACCAAGGTCTTCTTTGATGACACATCTTATTTAATATTCATCGCAACAATCTGCTCTCCACTGGTTTCAATACTAGAATCTTTTAGGCTTTCTCTTAAAGTTTCTAGTTGTCGAAGTATTAATTCCATTGCTTCGACTATTCCAATTCATTCCTTTTCATTTTTCTTAATGGATTGTAATTCATTATATAAAAGCTTGGTTATAGTGGATGGCTTACCATATTTTTCCATTAGCAGTCTTCTTATTACTTTGTAGTTTTCGGTGGCTATATCGTAACCCTTTGCCGCCTGTAACGCATTCATTCCCTTTAAACAGCAAAACAGATGATTCAATTTTAGAATTTCCGAATTGTTTGCGAATAGACGGCGGCGTTGAAACTACTCCAAAATTGTCTTTGTTGTCGAGGGTCTCTACTGAAAGTGGACAATGACAATTGCGGAAGACTGACTGTGACATGAGAAGTTGGTCTTGGCGGTTGAGTCTTGGTCTTTGACAGAAGTTGGTCTAATGAGTGCGAGTCTTGTGACAAGCGCACCAGTTCTAGGTCAGTTTCGTACATGGCTAAAGTAATAACCGCTTCTTTACCTTCATCCACTGGTCTGAATATTGAAGACTAGGTAAATGACTCATCGCCATGGATATGAAAAGACTTTTTTTTTGTGTGTATGTGTGTGTGTGTATGTATGTGTGTGTGTGTGTGTATGTGTGATGTAATTAATCCTTTATCTGGGAAGTGTGATGTAATTAATCCTTTATCTGGGAAGTATTCTCAACTTTACGTGAAAATTCTGTAACACAAAACTTTGATTGCTTTAACATACTATAAAATTCTTCAGTTTCCCGACGGCCATAAGCGGAATGTTCACACTTCACTGTTGTTTTCACTTGCATATTCTTTTTTTTTCATTTGTAATTTAAAATCTCATCGAAAGTTTATTGCTTAAAATTTCACTGAAAATTGTGTAATTTAAAATTTGATGTCAATTAAGCATAAAAGTCCAATATCATTACTACCACCCGCTTTCCGTAATGCATTAAAATTTCAATTATTAAGCATGCTGCTTCAGGGGTACTTCAATACTCGAAATAAACGCCGAAGTAATGAGTTAATCAATTCTCAGATAATTATACTATTTTCTCAGAAAAATGGTTCGTATATAGGAGATGAAAGAATTCATCACACACCTTGTGTATCATTATATCTTTCAACCTGATACTGTGCGATTTCATCAATATAAATATGAAAATAGCTCCATATAAGGTCATCAACTTGATGCTAATTTTACAGCTGCAAGAGAAATTTACATATTAGTCTTCTTTATATAAAAAGGAAATTGCACAGAAATTGTTCTACCAGATGTACAGCTTCTCAAAACTGTATTTAAGATTTGTATATATGAGAAAACCTTTATAAATTAGTTACGGAATGTATGCAAATCTCGGAACTGAATAAAAAGGAAATTTTAGGTGGTTTAAAGATTAGATAACTGACTCATCACTTTAGGTATGGGAAAACGTTTTATATTTGTTAGTGTGAATGTGATGAATTGCTTGTCTAGGAAATACTCTACACAAATACCTTAATATATTATAAATTGCTTCTGTTTTTCGACATTAATAATTTCGTTTTCACGACATGACGTAGACTGCCTGTATATGAAGATCGTACAATCATTGACCTTCCAAGATTAGTTATATTACCGTAATTTACAGCTGCATGTCGCAAATGAATGTATTCTTCAAAACGAAGCTTAGTCTGATTCAAACGGATGAATGTCAAACGTTTTGTTTCGATTTTTGCATACATATCTATAATGAATGTATTGGTGAAACAATGGCATTTCAAAACGTGATTATCTTCATTCTTTCGAATAATTATCAGTATAAATAATAGTTCATTGCACTGCATTTCATATTTGTTTGTTTCACCACAGATTGGATTTATCATCTTAACATTTGAAAGATATCTATCGACAACCATCCCAAAGATATTGCAGGGTATGGTAGCATTGAGGAGGTTCTGTAAATTTTATCAATTGATCGTTTCTCCGGTGAAGAACAATATCTCTAGGTTGGGATTGATCTCCGACTATAACAACTGCCACTTCGTCTACAATTGG